CATTCACACAAATGACTAGCTAAACTTCAAAAATATTTTACAGCTATCAATTATTGATTATATTTTATAATGTCTAGCACAGCACTTTTAATTCCTTTCATTTTAGACTACAAATAAGGAAGCACTGCAAAGTTTAAGCTAGCAGTGCCCAACTTTTTTGGCACCAGGTACAGGTTTCATGGAAGACAATTTTTCCACAGGAGTAAGGGAGTTTATGCGGTGATGCGAGTGATGGGGAGCAGCTGTAAATACTGACAAAGCTTCGCTTGCTTGCCCTCCATTCACCTCCTGCTGTGAGGCCTGGTTCCTAAGTTTCATGGAAAGCAGTTTTTCCATGGACTGGGGAAGGGGGGCATGCAGTGGAGTTCAGGCAGTGGTGCATGGCCCGGTTCCTAAGAGACTGTGGGCTGTGGACCAGCACAGCCCGGGGGGGTTGGGGACCACAGGTTTAAGTTATCTGAAAAATTTCTACAATGATAGGGAAATAACAGTATAAGACATCAGCTTCTTTTAGTTAATCAACTAAAAGCACAAGATTAATTAAGCTAGAGAGGAGACTATCAAAACTACATCTATAGATGTGGGGTTCCTGGATCCAATCCTCTGTGGATACTGAGGGACAACTGTATTATATTTATTAACCCATGCATCTGTTGATGGATACTTGGATTGCTTCCATGTTTTAGCTACTGTGAATGATGCTGCTATGAATACGGATATACAGATATTTCTCTAATACTCTGCTCTCAATTCTTTTGGGTATATATAAATGGTATATATAAATGCCTGATAGGATGTTTAGCAGCATCCCTGGACTCTACCCACTAGATGCCAGTAGAATTTCCCCTGAATGTCTCCAAACATTGCCAAGTGTCCCTTGGGGGAAAAAACTGTCCCTGGATGAGAACCACTGCTTTACAACAGACCTGTGCCCTCTTTTGCAGATTCTCTTTTTGAGAAACAGCTACTGGCTTTTGAGCCCCAGTAGAGATGGGTCATCAAAGTGACCAGGTGACCTGGCATACCCTCAAGAACTGAGTGTTCTGACCCACCAAGCCAAAAAGCTGAATGTGCTAGCAGGATTCCATCATTAAGTGGAAATGATAACGTTTGTCAGACATTAGTTTTTCCTCTCCTTCAAAGCACATTGGAGGACGGTACTTTTCTATTCTCTTTAAGTCAGATGTGACTTCATGACTTGCTTTGACCAAAGAGCAGAAATGATTTCCGCAGAAACATTTAATTACCAGTATGCAATTCTCCAGCCTGTTCTTCCCTTGCCACTATTAAAACAGAAGCAGAGATAAATATGGAGATGCAATGCTGACCCATCATATGAGGAACAGCTGCCTGAAATCACCCAGACTTGCAGTCGTTTTACATGAGAATAAATAAATCTTCCTTTTTAAAATTTTAAGCCATTATTTGAGGACTGGTTGCTACCACTATGTAACCAGCTAATCCTGACTACAGTGATTATAACATACAAGAAGGTTCCAGCAGGCCCCCAAAGTACAAATAAACTGAAAGAACAAATAGTTCAGACACTCATGGCACTTACTTCTACTAATCGACTCTCCCTTAATCTATGGCCCTGTAGAGTTCCCTATGACCAAACAAAGGAAGAAAAAAAATTTAGGCCCAGTTACACATGGTTCCATATAATATGCTGGCAATCCCCCTACACAGAAGTGGCCCTCCAGGCCAGGAGAAAAGGAAAATCCTTCCAGTAGGCAGAGCTTCAAGCAACATATCTGGTTGTTCATTATGCCTGAAGAGAGAAGACCAGAGGTACAATCTATGATTTGGCTAAATGGCCTGTCAGCAGTACTTGCTCAACAGGCTCATGAATATAATGACCCTGTCAGCAGGTCAACACAGACTTCCCCTCAGCAATGTTGATGTATAATTCCATGATATGCTATGCTGTCTCACACCTCACTCATTTTCTTATGCTACCCTCCTCTCTGGAATGCCTTTCAACTACCCTCTATCCTGACTATCCTACTGTTCTTTCAACACTCAGATCCACATTCGCCTCCTCTATAAAGCCTTTCCATAGTATACAGCCCTGTATCAATTCAAAGCCCTCTCTTTCCACCCATCCCCACGAGTTCATAACCTAGGGTCTACAGGCCCCCAGGGGTCTGTAATAGAATTCATAAACTTTGATGAGAAGAATACTATTCCTTTTACCAATCTCCAAAATTTATCATTTCATTAGATTATGAATGCAGACAAAACAATAAAACAACCATAGTATTTTCTGTGATTTGGTCACCAATAGATATCACAGGTGTTTTTATACCGAATTACATTTGTCACAGATATTAAAATATCATTTATGCTTATCACTACTTCATGCCACTTTTTCCTGGTCAGAGAGCTTCTGCCCCATCCTGGACAGAAATGTTTCCAAACTCATCTGTCCAGATATATAGCTAAACATTTTTATTTTTTTGGTGTTTCCATGGGGGGGGGTGTTAACATTATTATTTATTAACATTTAAAATCTGTAGACTGAGTAAAACAGATTGTCCTTCCTAATGTGGGTGGGCCTCACATAATCAGTTGAAGGCCTGAAGAGAACAAAAAGGCTAAGTCTCCCCCAAGTAAGAGAAAGTTAGTTCCTCCTAACTGCCTTCAAACTAGGACATCTGCATTTTCCTGCCTTCAGACTCAAACTGAAACATCAGCTCTTCCTGGGTCTCGAGCTTGCGGGCCTTGGAGTGGAACTGTGTCATCTGGTTCTCAGGCCTTCAGACTCTGACTGGAACTCCCCCATCAGCACTCCCGAGTCTTTAGCTTGCCAACCACCCTGCAGATCTTAGGACTTGTCAGCTTTCTTAATTGTGTAAGCCAATTCCTTATACTAAACCTTATTTTAAAAATCACATACATACCCTATTGATTCTATTTCTCTGGAGAATGCTGAGAAAAACAGTTCCCAACTCTGAAACCTTGAGGATGGGCAGAATCCATCTCTCTCTTTTTTTTTTTTTTTTTT